CAAAGATAGACCACATGATAGGACACAAACTAAATCTCTACAAGTTCAAGAAGATTGATATCATATCAAGCATCTTCTCAGATCACAATGGCATGAAACTAGAAATCAATTGCAACAAGAACACGCAAAGACATTTGAACACATGGAGGCTAAATAGCATGTTATTAAACAATAAATGGGTTACCGAGGAGATCAAGGAAGAAATTAAAAACTTCCTGGAAACCAATGAAAATGAACACACAACAACACAAAATCTATGGGATGGAGCGAAAGCAGTTCTGAGAGGGAAGTTCATAGCAATACAGGCCTACCTCAAGAAACAAGAAAAACTTCTAATAGACTATCTAACCTCACAACTTAAAGAACTAGAAAGCAAACAAAGAGAAAACTCCAGAGCAAGTAGAAGGAAGGAAATAGTAAAGATCAGAGCAGAAATAAATGCCATTGAGACAAAAAAAAAACACAAAAAACAATTCAAAGAATCAATGAAACAAAGAGCTATTTTTTTGAAAGGATAAACAAGATTGATGGATCCCTAGCTAGACTCACCAAGAAACAAAGAGAGAGAACCCAAATACACAAAATCAGAAATGAAAGAGGAGAAGTAACAACTGACACCACAGAAATACAAAAGATCATTAACAACTACCATGAACAATTATATGGCAACAAATTTGACAATCTAAGCTAAATGGACAAATTTCTAGAAACACATAGTCTCCCAAAACTGGACTGGGAAGAGAGAGAAAACTTGAACAGACTCATAACAACTAAAAAAATTGAAGATGTAATCAAAATTCTCCCAGTAAACAAAAGCCCAGGTCCAGATGGCTTCACGGGGGAGTTTTACCAAACATTCAAAAAAGAACTAACACCCATTCTCCTCAAACGATTTCAAAAAATTCAAGAAGAAAGACTTCCAAACTTGTTTTATGAGGCCAGCATAATTCTAATTCCAAAACCAGAAAAAGACACTACAAAGAAAGAAAACTACAGGCCAATATCCCTGATGAACATAGACGCCAAAATCCTGAACAAAATATTAGCAAATCGGATCCAGCAATACATCAAAAAAATTATTCACCATGACCAAGTGGGATTCATCCCAGGGATGCAAGGCTGGTACAATATTCACAAATCAATAAATGTGATACACCACATAAACAAAATGAGGAATAAAAACCACATAATCATATCAATAGATGCTGAAAAAGCATTCGACGAAATCCAGCATTCATTTCTGATGAAAATGCTCAGCAATGTGGGAATAGAGAGATCTCAACATAATAAAGGCCATATATGAAAGACCTACAGCCAACATCATACTCAATGGGCAGAAACTAAAAGCACTTCCCTTAAGAACAGGAACAGACAGGGATTCCCTCTTTCACTACTCTTATTTAACATAGTACTGGAAGTCTTAGCCATTGCAATCAGATATGAAGAAAAAATAAAAGGGATCCAAATTGGAAAGCAGGAAGTGAAACTGTCATTATTTGCAGATGATATGATATTATACATAGAAAACCCTAAAGACTCAATCAAAAATCTACTAGACTTAATAAATGAATTTGGCAAAGTAGCAGGATACAAAATTAACGTCAAGAAATTGACGGCATTCTTGTACACCAATGATGAACTCACAGAAAGAGAAACTGAAAAAACTATCCCATTTACCATAGCGGCAAAAAAATTAAGATACCTAGGAATAAACTTAACAAAAGAAGCAAAGGACCTATTTGCAGAAAACTACAGGACATTGAAAAAAGAAATAGAGGAAGATATAAAAAAGTGGAAGCACATACCTTGTTCATCGATTAGAAGAATTAACATCATTAAAATGTCCATATTACCCAAAGCGATCTATAGATTCAATGCAATTCCCTTCAAAATACCAACGACATATTTCACAGAACTAGAACAAATACATCAAAAGTTCATATGGAACCAAAAAAGACCTCGAATAGCCACAGCAGTCTTTAAAAAGAAGGACAAAGTAGGTGGGATCACAATACCGGATATCAGGTTATACTACAAAGCTACTGTAATCAAAACAGCCTGGTACTGGTACAAGAATAGGCATATAGAACAGTGGAACAGAACAGAGAACCTAGAAATGGACCCAAGACATTATGCTCAATTAATATTTGACAACGGAGGCAAGAGCATACAGTGGAGTAAAGACAGCCTCTTTAATAAACGGTGTTGGGAAAATTGGACAGCTACATGCAAAAAAATGAAACTAGACCATCAACTTACACCATACACAAAAATGAACTCAAAATGGATAAAAGACTTAAATGTGACCCGTGAATCCATAAAAGTCCTAGAAGAAAATGTAGGCAACAAAATTTCGGACATCATACACAGCAGAATTTTCACTGATACATCACCTAAGGCAACAGAAACAAAGGAAAAAATGAACACATGGGACTACATCAAACTGAAAAGCTTCTGCACAGCAAAAGAAACAACCATCAAAATGGAAAGGCAACCCACTATATGGGAGAACATCATTGCCAATGATACATCAGATAAGGGGTTAATTTCCAAAATATATAGAGTACTCATACAACTCAACAAAAGGAAGACAAAGAACCCAGTTAAAAAATGGGCAGAGGAGCTAAATAGATACCTCTCCAAATAGGGCATACAAATGGCCAAGAGACACATGAAGAAATGCTCAACATCACTAACCATCAGAGAGATGCAAATTAAAACAACTATGAGGTATCACCTCACACCTGTTAGAATGGCCGCCATCAACAAATCATCAAACAAGTGTTGGTGAGGTTGTGGAGAAAAGGGACTCTAGTACACTGCTGGTGGGAATGCAGACTGGTGCAGCCACTGTGGAAAACACTATGGTGTTACCTCAAAAAATTAAAAATTGAATTGCCATTTGACCCAGTGATCCCACTTCTAGGAATATACCCTAAAAAGCCTGAAACACCAATCAGAAAGAATATATGTACCCCCCATGTTCATAGCAGCACTATTTACAATAGCTAAGATCTGGAAACAGCCCAAGTGTCCATCAGTAGATGAATGGATAAAAAAGCAGTGGTACATATACACAATGGAGTACTATGCAGCTGTAAGAAAGAAAGATCTCTTATCCTTTCAGATGACATGGAGGGACCTGGAAAGTATTATCGTAAGCAAAACAAGCCAAGCAGAAAAAACAAATACCACATGATCTCACTTATTTGTGGAATATAATGAACATAACAGTCTGAGGAATAGGGTAAACCCAGGGACGTGGAAGTAGGGTACAGACTGACAACCCTCAGAAGAGGAGGTGGTGGGGGAGGGAAGAGATAAACCACAGAACTTATATGCATGTACGCATAACCAATGGACATGGACAACAAAGCTGGGGATGGGGAGGTGTCAATGGGATAAAAACAGAGACACATCTGTAACAAAAATAAAATACAATAAATAAAAAAAATAAAAATTAAATTAAAAAGAAACTTTTTTTTAGAGAGAGAGAAAAAAACATTGATTTGTTGTTCTATGTATTTATGCATTCATTGGCTGCTTCTTGTATGTGCCCTGACTGGAGATCAAGCCCACAACCTTGGGACGATGCTCTAATCAATTGAGCTTCCCTGTCAGGACTGAAGTATCTGTCATTTTCAAGAAGAGATGCTGCCCAAGTGCTCTCTGTACTTTTCCAAAATTACATCAGCCCACCAGAAGCAAGGAGGAAATTCCACAAAAGTGTAGTTTGCCTACAACCCTGTGAGAAAAACTACCCCAGCACGTCCCTGCTCCCTTCTCATGCCAGATCCAAAGATCTTGGCACCAAGAGCTAAAGTCAAAGGCATCAACCACACCCTCCCACCCCTATTCCCACTCCCACCTGAGTCTTGTGCAGAGAAAGCTATTCTCAGCCTCAGACGTAGGAATGGAGTGTCCATAGGCCTACAGAGCGGGGTCTTCCCTGATCCTTTTTCATGCTCAAAGCTTCTCCTGGGACCTCTCGGGGATTTTTCAGAAGAGCTCTAGGACTAAGCCAGCTCAACCCCCTGAAGGGACTTAACTTCCCCAGGACAGTGACAGGTCCAAAGGCAAGTCCAGTCTTCACCCCAGAACAGACTCTGGAAAGATGTTCCAGCCCCAGAGGGAGGGTTTAGACTTCCAAACCCAAGTCACCTAAGCTGGCACCAGGTCTCATCCCCACCCCAACCATCCATTCCAGGCCAGAGGGGCCACAGATCTCACCAGTGAGCCCCAGACATCTGATGGCTCCAAGACCTCTGTTCCCTGCAAGGACACACACACACACACACACACACACACACACACCCCTGTGGGCATTCCACGCCTGCAGGTCATGGTCTGTTCTAGAAACTGCCAGTGGTGGCACCAGGCGAGGCATTGGTGCCAGGGCAGTGAGAGACGCGGGGGCACAGCAAAAGCAAGATCCATGGGGCTTTGCCGTGGGGCTGGGACCACCCAGGCTGTCGTCAGCCCTCAAGAGGAAGTGCGCTCCTGGGCAGACTTCTGAGGCCCCAGTGCTCAGGGACAGACAGGGTTTGCTGAAAAATGAATGCCTCTGTTAGTGGCCTCAGCTGAGGACTGTAAATGCAAGACTCTCTGAGTCTGCTTAACACATGCCCTTGAGGAGTAACTAAGTCAGAAGTTCAAGCCCCAGCTTTGCCATGACCTCAGCATGCCCTCAAGCACTGCAGGCCTCAGTTGCCCATCTGTAAAATAAGAGCTACACAAGATAGAAGCAAAGTCCTTGTTTGCCCTGGTGTGAGTTCTTTAGCTCCTCCGAGTGCGCACATTCATGAGCCCACAAAGATCCTCACGTTAATACGTGAACGCTCTCCAGGACACCCATGTAACTGTGTCCTGGGGCACACGAGAAATCGTGTGGGTTGTCCTGTGTGTATGTGCTGAGTGGGAGGGGAGACCCAGAACCATATCCTCCCCCTTCCCTCCTCAATAGGCGGAAGCCACTGGCTTCCTCCCTTTCCTGCCTCCTGTGTTCTGGCAAGACTGAAGACCAAGGAGAGAAAAGGGGATGGAAAAATCAGCCCAACAGTCTCCAGGTCTGACTTTACCACAACCCTCCCCCCACCTCTAGTGACCCCATTCCAGGGCCTTCTAGGCCACACCCACCCCCAGCATGTGGAGGTCACACTGGGGGCCTAGAAGCCCAGAAGCAGGATAAGTCCTTCCCACCCTTCCCACCCAAGCCACCTCATTTCCTCTTCCTCCCCAGCACCAACACTCACTGACTAGCACAGGCTGAGCAGCCAGACCCAGAGTCATTGACCGTGGGCCCGGCTTGTCCTGGTTGGCCCAGTCAGCCTCCGGAGTATGGTCTGGCTGGGGCCCCCTTTGCTGCTCGTCATCATCTTCCTGGCTTCTCATGTTGGTAAGTCTCCCCCAAGCCACGCCACACCCAGCCCCCAAGGCCCTGATTCTCCAGTAAATCCTATCATCACTGTCATCACTTTCATCCATACTGTGATCAGCTAGAAAGTGAGATTAGGCCCAGGGAAACCTAGAAAGTGGGATCAGGTGTTAGACAGCACTGCAGTCTGGGGTTGAAGAAGGGAAGGGGAGGGGAGGGGAGGGGAGGAGAGGGGAGGAGAGAAGAAGAGAGGGAGAGGGGAGGGGAGGGGTAGAACAATGTTGGATCTTAGGATCAGTGGGGAACATCAGGGCCTACAAAGTTTTCAGTGAATGTTAATAGGGTCATTGTATTGCATTCATTTAATTATTCACTTGACAAACATTCATCAAGAACCAACAATATTCCAGGAGCTGTGCTAAATGGTGGGCCATTAGTTGAGAGGCAGACAGCCTCCAGACCTGCACAGCGAGATTAAAGGATGCTGACCTCCTATGGCTGTTATGGGGTTTAAATGAGGTAATTTACAAAAAACAATTGGCACAATGCACGGCACTTGGTGAGGGCTTCTGAATAAGTGGTAGCCAATTCCTTCGGTGTGCTGGCCGAAGAGGACTAGAATGCAGGGGCTGCCTTTGAGTGGTTCATACTCTAGTAGGGAACACAGGAGGTGGGGTGAGCGCTAAACACATAGACAGAAGGAGCTCCCAAGTAGCACTTACTCCGCCTTGGGCAGTAGATAAAAAGGGGGTCTTGAAAGACTTCCCTAAGACCAGCTGTCTTCATTCCAGACAAGTCTGGAAGTGCCTGGGAGAGAAGGTTCCTAAAGAACACAGCAGGAGGGGCAGGCAGCCTGTGAGCAGCAAGGAGCTCAAGAGCATGCCCTTTATCCTGAGGGCAATAGGGAGCCATGGGAGGTTGTAGGCTAGAGCCACAAGGCCTTCGCTGGATCACTTTGGAGGATGAGCTGAGAAAGGAGGGATGTGGCTGTTGGGATGGCCCAAGTGGGTAAGAGTGTGGGCTAGGCAAGGGCGGGCTTACAGATGGGGAAAAAGTTAAAAGGTTTTGAGGAAATATGATTTGCAGAATTTTGTGACTGATTAGGGCAGCCAGTATAGTGCTTAAAGGTATGGACTTTAGAGTCAGAAAACCTGGCTCTGCCAGTTACTAATTGTATGACCTTGGGCAAGTACGTCTCTGAGTCTTCCTTCCCTGGCTATAAAATCGGGGTAATAACACCCACCTCCCCAGATAGTTAGGATGATAAAATGAGAACATAAATAAAGCACCTGGCATACAATTGACCTCCAATAAACATTAATTACTATGACAGGAGTTTGAGATGACTCCGAAGTTTGTGTCTCAGGAGGCTGGTGCCATCCGCTGAGTCAGGGAGCACTGAAGAGAAGCAGGTTAGCCCTGGCTGGGTGGCTCAGTTGATTGTAGAGTCATTTCATACACCAAAAGGTTTTGGGTTCAATCCCAGTCAAGGTACATACCTAGGCTGCAGGTTCAACCCCCAGTCAGGGTGCATACAGGAGCCAACTGATCAGTGTTTCTCTCTCACATTGATGTTTCTCTTCCTCCACTTTCCTCTCTCTCTCTCTCTTAAATTATATATATCTCCATCCATCCTTGAGTGAGGATTTAAAAAATACGTGTTTGAGGAAAGCTGATAGGTTGTCCCAGGGCTATTGACTCAGGTGATCTTAAAGCCAAGGGGGAGAAGGAGCATGCTCAAGGAAGCCTGTAGAATAATTACCACCCTCCTCTGTAAGTGGAAAGACATCAACTTCACTGAAGGGTATGAGGCTCCCTTGGAAATCAGGTGCTTAGCACATGGCAGGCAGTCATCAGATGTTAGCTTCACTTACCCATGGTAGACTTTCGAAGAATATTCATTGATAAGCTAAGAGGCATTTAAGCTAATTACTTGGCAGTTAGCAGGCAGGAATGAGGAAGAGGGGCTCAGAAAGGTGCGGGGTCATGGGGCTGAGGAGCCTCGAAGGGCTCACCGTGGTCAGGCCTGGTCTGCAGCCCACTCTGTGCCTTACATTATATGCCCCAGTCACACTGAATTTGAACATCGCCCTGTCTGCACCATAATATTTTTCATTCCACATCTTTTTTTTTTTATCCTCACCTGAGGATAGTTTTGCATTTATCTTCAGATAGAGCTGGAGGGAGAGAGAGAGAGAGAGAGAGAGACATCACTATAAGAGAGACACATCGACTGGCTGCCACCCACAGGACCTCAACCCGGGCTGGGGACAAACTGCAACAGAGATATGTGCCCTTAGCGAGGACTGAACCCAGGTCTCTCTGGTCGGTGGGCTGACGCTCTAACCACTGAGAAACCGACCAGGGCTCATTCCACATCTTTACTCAGGCTGTGGCCTCTGCCTAGAATACCCTTTCTTACCACTGACCTCTCCCCCCTGCTATTCTCCTCACCCTTCCATGTCCTCCTTCCATGTTCAGCGTTAAGTCCCTCCAGGGGAGGTCTCCATCTCCCAGAAGGCATCTCTTCATCCTCTGCCATGGGTCAGGCACCCATCCTCTGTGCTTCCCCAAAGGCACCCTGCATTTGATAGCGTGTCCATGCCTGTCTTCCCAGCAAGGCCTGCAGTGCTGTGGAAGTCGAAGACCCGCGGCCCACCTTGGTCTCTGCACGTCGACCCGGTGCCTGCCCTCGTCTCTGGCTTTTCACAGGGCCCACAGCTCTCTTCCTTTCTGCCCCACAACCACCTGGCTGCAGAACCCAGCCTTTCCCGTCTTAAATCCCAGCACAGCAAATGTGTCTAGATTTATTTCTGGAGTGACAGGGAGGGGTCCCTCCAAGGCCCCCTATGCTCCTTGGCTCTCCCAGCCTGCACCTTCTTAGTGGGGAGCAGGGAGAGGGGCTCCCTTGGCAGAGCAGTTTGAGAGACAGGTCAGGAGAACGGGTTTGAGGGGGAATAAAAAGGAAACAGAGCACCGGTCAGCTTGCTCAGTGGTTAGAGCGTCCCATTAGAGCATTGGCCCAGGGATCAAAGAGTCATGGGTTCGATTCTGCTCAAGAGTGTGTACCTTGGTTGCGGTTCAGTCCTTGGCCCTGTGGGAGGCAACCAGTCAGTGTGTCTTTCACATTGATGGTTTCTCTCTCTCTCTCTCTCTCTCTCTCTCTCCCCCCTTCTTCCTCCTTCTCTCCCACTCTGTCTGAAGATAAATTGAAAACTATCCTTGGATGAGGATTTAAAAAAAAAAAAAAAGCAAGCCCTGGCCGGTTGCTCAGTGGTTAGAGTGTCGGTCTGCGGTCTAGAGAGACCTGGGTTCAATTCCCGCTGAGGGCATGTACCTTGGTTGCAGTTTGTCCCCAGCCCTGGTTGGGTCGTGCAGGTGGCAGCCACTCGATGTGTCCCTTTCACGTCGATGTTTCTCCTCTCTCCTCGTCCTCCCACTCTATCTGAACAAAAAATGGAAAAATGTCCTCGGGTGAGGATTTAAAAAAAAGGAAACGGAGACAGGGAGCATAGATCATTCTTTCCAAAGCTGGGCTGCAAAGGGAAGCCATCTGGCAGGAGGAGGGTGGGGGGGATGAGGCCAGAGAAGGGGCTTTGTTTTTGTTTTTGCTCTGTTCCCATGAAGAGGCTTGAGGAAAGGGGTCAGTGCAGGGAAGGGGCAGGAAGGGATGGGGAGGAAATGCCTGCCTAAGTGCAGTGCCTGAAGGTGGGGAAGAGGGGGTAAGGAGGGAGGAAGGTTGGGGACCCAGTCAGATGGAGGACTGCTGTCCCTTCCCAGGTGCTGCGGTGGACCTGACGCTGCTGGCCGACCTGCGCCGCACGGAGCCACACCGGTTCTACCTGACCTGCGTGTCCGGGGAGGTGGGCGCGGGCAGGGGCTCCGATGCCTGGGGCCAGGCCTTGGTGCTGGAGAAAGACGACCGCATCGTGCGCACACCCCGGCCCCGGCAGCCACCGCAGCTGGCTCTCAACGGCTCACAGCGGATCACGCTGAGCGGCTTCTCCAAGCCCTCAGACCTGGTGGGGGTCTTCTCCTGCGTGGGCGGCACCGGGGCCCGACGCACCAGCATCCTTTACGTGCACAACAGCCCGGGAGGTAAGTCTGGCCCGCTGTCCGCTGTGCGGAGGGAGAGGAGAGGCTGCCTTTGACCACTGACCGCACCTCCACCCACCCTGCAGCCCAGCTGCTCCCCGACAAAGTCACACACACGGTGAACAAAGGCGACACAGCTGTGCTTTCCGCGCGTGTGCTCAAGGAGAAGCAGACAGATGTGATCTGGAAGAGCAACGGTGAGGGGAGCATTTGAGCTGGTTGGGCAGGTAAACCCACAGATCTGACACCCCGACACCTCCCTGGCCAACCTTGGGCCCTTATATACCTATCATTCCCATACACCTGTTACCCCCTGGCCAACCTGCAGGGCTCCCTCTGCCCTGGACCAGGTCCATGGAAGCACCTGCATCAGTTCTCCTGCACCCAGAGAACCGATGGCATCGTGGTCACCTACCTACTGCTCTGTCACCCCCAAATTAGCACTACCTTAAACCCTCACTTTTGACACTCCCCTGGGGGCTAGCAGGTACATAGCCCACGTAGCGGGAGCGGCAGTTCCCATGGGGAAGAGAACTGGTAACCTTGTCCCAGCACAGGCAGGGAAAGTCTAGTCTCTTCTGGACATTTGTCCAGATGTGTGCTGGGGCCTGGTGAGACCTGGGGAGCTCAGCCACCCCATGGGAGGAAGCTGTTTTCCTCTGGTCCCAAAGATTCCTGCCTCGGCCCTCAGACCCACAGCCCTGTTGCTGCCTTTTGGGTTCCTGGGCTCCTGAAGGAGGAGGACTCTTCCCTTGGGCCAAGGGGTTCGCCTGCTGAGCTCCCAGCTTTCTGAAGCCATGTGGATAGTCAGGTAGACCGGGGCTCCCTAAAGTCTCCATTCAGCCCTGAGCAAAAAGCCAAGCAGGGTGTGGGGCAGGCACAGGGTCTGCAGGTCCGGGAGGGAGACCTCCTGGGAGAAATCCCGCAGTAGGTGACACCTGAACTGTGCCTCACAGAAGGAATGGGAATTAGCCAGACAAAGAAGGAGGGAGAGCAAAGGCAGGAATGGAAACCAGTAATTCCGGAATTCAAGAATTTTAGGAGCCAGGCAGGGTGTGGAGAGGTATGGGGCTAGAGAGCTATGCAGTGGCCAAAGGGTGACAGAGAAAATGATGTGCTAGGGAGTGGGATGTGGTCCTGGGGGCAGTGGGAACTGCTGCAGAGAGGAAGCAGGGAGCTGCAGAGGAGTCTGTTGCAAAAAACAAACAAAAACAATAAAAAAGAAAAGCAACCAACAAACAAAAACCACTGCTGAGTAGAGGGCAGATGGGAAAGGGGGGGACTGGAGGCAGAGAGACCGACCACTCGGGAGGCTATGAGAAGTGGGGACCAGGGTGGTGGGTGCCAGTGGGCCTGGAGAGAAGAGGACAGTTTAGATGAGGAGACAGACTGATTTACTGCTAGATTCTGGAGAGAGGATGCTTCCCAGCTTTCTGGCTTGTGTACAAACGCTCACGGGTGCTTCCCCCAGGTCAGACTGCAGTGCATGATGCACATCGATGTGACCTGGGCAGAGATGCGCAGAGGGAGGGGACACCAGCTCTCACATGGTGCTGAGGCCCCTGACCCGCTTATGCCCCCCAGGATCCTACTTCTATACCCTGGACTGGCATGATGCCCAGGATGGGCGGTTCCTGCTGCAGCTCCCAAATGCACAGCCACCACTGAGCGGCATCTACAGTGCCACCTACCTGGAAGCCAGCCCCCTGGGCAGCGCCTTCTTTCGGCTCATCGTGCGGGGTTAGGGGCAGAGAGCAGAGGTGGCGGGTGGTGCGGGAGGTTGGGAATCTTGTGGGTACTTCCTTTGGGTCCTCAGGGCTGCCCCCCTCCTCGGCAGCAGTGGTCAGGTGGGCGAGGGTCATCTGCTGAAAGCACATTCCTCCAGGCTGTGGGGCAGGGCGCTGGGGACCAGGCTGTACCAAGGAATGCCCAGGCTGCCTGCATGGAGGTGTCTGCCATGACCAGGACGGCGAGTGTGTGTGCCCCCCGGGATTCACTGGTACCCACTGTGAGAAAGGTAAGGAGGGGGGGGAGCTAGGACCTAGGCAGGACAGGATGCCTGGCTGGGGGAAGACCCTTGAACCATGGGGATGGAGCTTAAAAGATGAGAGTGCCAAGTAGGTCCCAGACCCTGGGTCCCAACAGAGGCTCCTACACCACATGCCCTCCTTCCAGCCTGCAGAGAGGGCCGTTTTGGGCAGAGCTGCCAGGAGCAGTGCCCAAGCACGTCAGGCTGCCGGGGCCTCACCTTCTGCCTCCCAGACCCCTACGGTTGTTCTTGTGCCTCTGGCTGGAGAGGAAGCCAGTGTCAGGAAGGTATGCGCTAACCCCCCCTCCATGGTCCCCAACCCAGAGAGCTTGCCACAAGCCTGGCCTGGACCCTTTGCTCTGGCCCTGACTTGCACACCAAGCTTTCTACAGTCCCCTGCTCACCTGCCCAGTGCCCTCTCCACCCAGCCTGTCATTATCCAGGCCCCAGCTGTGCCCCCTGACCTGTGCCCTTCTAACCACACCCCTTCTGTTCCCAGCCTGTGCCCCTGGCCATTTTGGGGCTGATTGCAGCCTCCAGTGCCAGTGTCAGAATGGCGGCACTTGTGACCGCTTCAGTGGCTGTGTGTGCCCCTCCGGGTGGCATGGAGCACACTGTGAGAAGTCAGGTATGAACACAGGGATCTCAGACCCTTCAAGACAAGCCAAACTTCACCAGACATAGTTCCTGTGAACGCTCCTAAGTCCTGCCCTTGGGGAGCTCAGGGTCTGGAAGGTGTTTCCAGTACCCCGTCTGCACCACCATCCAGAGATAGCAGCAGCCCAGAGTGGGTGGTAGCCCAGAGGAGGCCCCGGCCAGCCTGAGGGGTCAGAGAGGGCTTCTCGGAAGAGGTGAGATCTGAGATGGGATATGAAGGACGAGAGAGAGATGGCTAGGCAAAGGCTGGGGTAGCAGGACAGTGGCATAAGGGGAGGCTGGCAGTGGTCAGAGGAGGTCACACCTGAGGGACTCTGAATGGCGAGCCAAATGGTTTTCACTTAGTGTAGTAGGGGCAGGAAGGAATTGTTGCAGAGGCACAAGGTGGTCAGATTGATGCTTCAGAAAGGACCCCAGCTGCTGGGTAAAGAGGGGGACAGGAAACCCAGATGGGCTGTGGCAGGGCCCAGAAACGAATGAGGTCTGACCAGTGTTCTGACCACGAGGCTGAGGCTGCGAGGGCCCCGGTTTTGGTATGAAAGGATCTTAGGAGGTGAGGGGCTCAGGAGGCGGACTGCGGCTGGTTAGAGGTGGGGCACAAGGGCTCCGAGAGCTTACACGGGACCGTGCTGACTTTCAGGCTTGAGTGACAGGGCAGATGGCAGCGCCTCCACTGAGATGCATGACACAGGACGAAGGGCACTTTGGTGGCCATGTGTCTGCCCCTGTGACAGCTCCAGGATGAGTGTCCTTTCTCTCCCCAGACCGGATTCCCCAGATCCTAGATGTGGCCTCAGAACTGGAGTTCAACTTGGGGACGGTGCCCCGTATCAACTGTGCAGCTGCTGGGAACCCCTTCCCAGTACCGGGCAACATGGAGCTCCACAAGCCAGACGGCACCGTCCTACTGGTCAGTCCCACGACCCCAGCCAGCCCCCCGACAGCTTTACAGTTGGTCCTTCAGACCTCTGACCCCTCAGGGCTTTCTGCAAGCTCTACCCACTGGCTCAAATGGGGTCTAGCTGATTGCTGAGGGGCTACCTCCTGGCCTCTGTCCCCTTGTCAGTCTAGACAGACATGTGGCCGCCACATGGATGTATGTTATCTTTGGTTTGTCCCCTTCCCCTGCCTCTCTCAGTCTACCAAGGCCATTGTGGAGCCAGATAGGACTACAGCTGAGTTCGAGGTGCCACGTTTGACTCTTGGAGACAGTGGGCTCTGGGAATGCCGTGTGTCCACCTCTGGTGGTCAAGACAGCCAGCGCTTCAAGGTCAATGTCAAAGGTCAGTGATGTTCATGGAGGATGGGCAGCAGGCAGAGTAGGCACTAGCCGATACTGCTGAGACTGGGCATCGTAGCAGGAAGGGCAAGGGCATTTAAGGTCACAGCCCAGTACCAGGCAAAGAAGAGGGCATATGGTCAACCAGAGGTCTGGGCTGGGCAATGTCAGGGTGGGAGCACCGCTCTGTCCCATCTGGAAGGGACATGCCGTGCCCTGGAAATGGGACACCGTCTGGCCTCACCCAGCCTCCTGCCTGGCCATGCTTGTCCTCTCCACCTCCCACAGTGGCCTTTAGCTCGCCTCTGGGATGCTACTTCCCCCTCTGACCCACACCACAGGGCACTCAGTGCCAGGACAGGGTGACCTGCTCCACTTCCCAGAGGTGAACTGAGGAGGGAGCTGCCAGTGCCCAGGACAGCTCAGAACAGAGCATGCCCACCTGGCCCAGGTGTCCCTTCACCCTCTCCAGCACCATTCACACCCCCTGCCCCCTCTGGGTTCCTCTCCCTCTGCTCCCGCACTCCCTGCTCCCCACATAAGCCCAGACCTCTCTCACTTCCTCCCCCTCACTCTTCACACTTGCTCACCACCCCTCCCACCCATCTGCAGCCCCCTCCACCACCAGGAAATTCTAGCCTGGCCGCGGGGCTCCACCCCGGTCTTTCTCTTCTCTCTCCCCAGGCTTTGGACCCAGACAATTTGGGTCCTAATCCTCACTCTGCAAATTCCTAGCTTCATCCCTGAAGCAGGTTACTTAGCCCCTCACAGCTTGTTTCTCTCTCAGATGAAGGTGTCAGCACTCACTTCATAGTATTGCCGTGAAGAGTAAAGTAGACCATACACTAAACGTAGCGTAGCGCCGGAGCCTTGTGCCCACGCTGCCCACAGGCAGAAGCCTGTCCTCCTTGGGCCCTGGCCGCTCTGCTCATCTGTCGAAGTTGATCTTCCCAGTCCAGATCCAAACCGAGACCAAGGGTCTTTGTTGGCCAGAACATAGAGTCCTCTCATGTTTCTGAGGATCGGTGGGCTTTCTGAGCCATGCCTTACCCGAGTCTCCTGGCAGTGCCCCCGGTGCCCCTGACTGCTCCTAGGCTCCTGGCCAAGCAGAGCCGCCAGCTCGTGGTGTCCCCGCTGGTGTCCTACTCTGGGGATGGACCCATTACCTCTGTCCGCCTGCACTACCAGCCTCAGGACAGCGCCGTGGCCTGGTCTGCCATTGTGGGTGAGTGGGAGGGCTGGGGAGGGCTGGGGCGGGACAGGGTGTTGGGTAATAATGAGGGGAGAACGGAGGGGAGGGAGAGTGGTTTGAGGGAAGAGAGGAAAGGAGAATGGTGGCTTCTGGAAAAGACTAAATGATGTATGCTGTTGCACCCCGCCCTCAGTGGACCCCAGTGAGAACGTGACGTTAATGAACCTCAGGCCGAAGACAGGATACAATGTCCTTGTGCAGCTGAGCCGACCAGGGGAAGGAGGGGAGGGGGCCTGGGGGCCTCCCACCCTCATGACCACAGACTGTCTTGGTGAGAGGCCCAGAGTCATCCTTTCCTGTCCCCCAGGGGTTACTGTCCTGTGCACTCAGGGGTTGTCAATCTTATCCACCCCACGGGCCCCTGCCTTTCCCACTGGAGGTTGTCCCACCTGTCCCCTGAGGATCACTGTCCTGTCCAGGCCCAAGGACTCACTGGAGAGTTCTGACCCCTGACCTCTGGCCCCAGAGCCCTTGTTGCAACCAAGGCTGGAGGGCTGGCATGTGGAGGGCCCTGACCGGTTGCGAGTGAGCTGGTCCTCACCCTCGGTGCCTGGGCCACTGGTGGGCGATGGTTTCCTGCTGCGCCTGTGGGACAGGGCACGGGGACAGGAGCAGCAGGAGAAGGTCTCATCCCCCCAGGCTCGCCCCGCCCTCCTGACCAGACTCATGCCTGACACCCACTACCTCCTGGATGTGCGACTACCACTGCACCCTCCTGGGCCCTGCCCCATGCACACGGGCTTCTGCCCTCAGCCGTATGCTTGAGGAGGGGGAAGGGCGCAGAATGAGGGGAGGACAGGGGACACATGAGACCCAAAAGGACATGAGAGGTTACAGGAGACTGGATGGATATGGAGAAAACCCAGGGCACGTGGAAAACACAGGCCCAGGAGGACCTACAGCATCAGGCAGACATGGACACGGGGAGGACGTGGGCGGACAACAGGGCATGTGGGGTGGGGGAGGACTAGGACACCGCGAGGGTCTGGAACCCCAGGGAGACTTGGGATAGCAGGACAATAAAGGGAAGCAGAAGCTCAAGGGTGAAGGGGACCACAGGGAGAGGAATTCAGCCCAAGAGGGAAGGCGGAGGCTGGAAGGGCAGCTCCCATTCTGGGGTCCTCAGAGGGGACACTGCTAGAGCGACGATGTGCCTGACCCCACAGCTCCACCACTTGTCCTGTCTGAGCCCTGCCTTTCCATCCCATCTCTCAGGGCCCCCAGCCCCCCGGCACCTCTATGCAAAGGCCCTCTCAGACTCTGAGATCCAGCTGACGTGGCAGCGCCCGGAGGCTCTGGCTGGACCTATATCCAAGTATATCGTGGAGGTGCAGGTGGCTGGGGGCTCAGGAGACCCACTGTGGATGGATGTGGACCGGCCAGAGGAGACCAGCACCATCGTCCGCAGCCTCAATGCCAGCACACGCTACTTCTTCCGTGTGCGGGCCAGTGTCCAGGGTCCCGGTGACTGGAGCAATATTGCAGAAGAGTCCACCCTGGGCAATGGTGAGAGAGCAGGGCCCTAGGCCTGCCATCCCCGATCCCTGCCTGGCACTGGGATCTCTGGCCTCTCCCTCTGTGACCCCATGGTGGCCTCTGGGTTTCCTGACCCAGGCGTCCCTATGATCTGCCCCTCTTATTGTGTCCAGGGCTTCAGAGTGAGGGCCCAGTCCAAGAGATCCGGGCAGCTAAAGAGGGCCTAGATCAACAGCTGATCCTGGCCGTGGTGGGCTCCATGTCTGCCACCTGCCTCACCATCCTCGCCGCCCTCCTAGCCCTGGTGTGCATCCGCAGAAGCTGCCTGCACCGCAGACGCACCTTCACCTACCAGTCAGGATCGGTCAGTCACCACCACCCCCGACCAGCCTGAGGCACATGCATGCAGACCCTATGTATATATGTTCCTACCTGTGTACAGACAAGTACTTGTAAACCCGAGAGAGAGAGAGAGAGTGTGTGTGTGTGTGTGTGTGTGTGTGGTGTGTGTGTGGTGTGTGTGCATGTTTGGTGCGAGTATAAAACTACACCTAATGACACTCAGGGCATAAGATATAGTTTTCTTTATTTCTCTAAAACTGACTCGGCTGATGAGCCCATTGCCATTAGTGGTGAAATAGTTCCTATTTCTAGTTCAGAATAACTCAGCTGTGTCTATATTTCACTATGATCCGTTCAAGATTCTCCCCCTTCTCCATGGGGATGATCTGAGCCTACGCGGCACAGTGATATCACGGAGGGGCAGCCGGGCTTCATGCGGCCTCTGTCCTGGCATCCCTCCCCCGCTTGGGAGCAGCTTCCGTCTGCACACAGCTGTGGCTGATGGGCTCAGCCCTCCTCTGGCCTCCTGCCAACAGGCTACTCATTCTGTGAGCTACTCATCCCATCCTCCATCCTTGCAAATCCCAGGTCTTTCTTGGGGAGACTTAAGGACTCTGGGGTGCGTCCCTGTGCCCTGCGGACGACAACATATTCATTGACCCTCAGACCCATTGTACAACTCCTTATCCAGCTGTTTCTCCCACCCTAGAGTTGTACTGGGCCTGCGGCCTCACCATTGCTCCTGGAGAAAGGAAACACGAGCTTCCACTCTTCCTGGCTTCCCTGCAAACCTGTCTGGGTTTTCTGTCCTTCTCTCGTCCTTAGGAGTGAGGGGAGGGTGCTGGCTCATCCTCCAGGATGCAGTGTCATCTCTTCTTGTCACTTCCTCCCATTTCTTACCTCCTCCCACCTCTCTCCCCACTCCCTGGTCCTGTCTCCTCTGAGACCTTCGCTGCTGCTGCAACTTATGACCTGAACTCTGCCCTTGGTCCTCCATGCCTGGCTCTTGATATTTACAACCCAGCTTTGACATTTCAAAAAAAGACCCTCTTCTCTTTCAAGGGCTGATCCTTGTGCTAGAAAGCCTAGAGTCCAAAGCTATTGTCTCTGCCGTGCCTTTAAAAACTCCTTTCAGTGATTCAATTGGCTTCTTTGTTCAGGCTGCATGGGCCCGCTCTCTGTGGTCAGTGTGCACAGAAAGCTGCCACGGCTGTGGAGGGGGAGGGGAATGGGTACAAAGGTTGGGGAAAGGAGGTGGGAAAGCAGCCTTTAACATATATATTATGCTAACATATATCAAGATACACCCCTGCTACGTGTGCCTGCTTGTGGGTATGTGCACATGAATGTGTGCCGTGTGTGCAAGCATGCATATGTCCCCATGAGCACCCCCATGTGTATATGCCTCTGTCCCTCTCCTTGTGCCCCTCCATGTGCACATCCATGGGGACCTCTGCATGGACCCACCTGCCTACAGTACCACCACTAGAACATGCATGTGCCTGCTGGTATGTGTCTTCAGCCCTCCGTGTCTCATGCAAATCAATGTGACCCATGTCCCCACGCCTTCCCCATCAACCTGGGGTCTCCTAGGGAGCCCCACCATCATGACTGTCTTAGTGGCTCTCCCAGTTCTCATATTAGCAGCTAACCTTGTCCTGTTCTACTGTTCCCTTCTCCTGCACCTTGCCCAGGTGGCCCAGCTCCTACTCATTTGGGAGGAGTGAGTGTTCCTCTTTGTTAGGGTCTTTCTATCTTTAGGCCCCAGGGTAGTTCGAGAGCTATGGGTGAACATCAAGTGGGTGGATGGTAGAATCTGCTTCTGCTACTGTGGGGAAGAAAGTTCGTCCACAGATCTCAGCAACTCAGAGCTCAGCATGTAGTAGGTGCTCAATAAATGAACCCTAGCCTTGGCCAGTGTGGCTCAGTTGGTGGGACGTTGTCCCGTGCACTGATGGCTTGCAGGTTTGACTCCTGGCCAGGGTACATGTCCAGGTTGTGGGCTTAATCCCTGTAGGGGACATGCAGGAGGCAGCCAATCCATGTTTCACTCTCACATCAATGTTTCTCTCTCCCTTTCTCTCTCTCAAAAACAATATTAAAAATAATAAATAAATAAACAAAGAAACCCTAGCCCACTGCCAAGGCTGGAATCCTCTCCAGACCATCCCTGGTGACAAAAAAGCATGGTTGTGGGATCAGCTCACTGCTTTCCATCACAACTCATTCCACTTGCCTTTCTATTTTAAATGTTAGAAATCTCCTCCTCCTGTTGACTCAGATTGTGGCTTCTAGCAACCTTACTCTTCCAGTTCTTCCAGTGTCCCTCACGCCTGACCCCCAGGCCACAGTCTCTCTCCGTGGATGTCTGTCCACCTAAAGGCCCACCCATGGCTCCCTCTCCCATGATTCTGCCTCAGTATGTGTCCTCTGTCTAAGTGTGTGTCCCTGGCTGACAACTGGGATGTCCTCTGTCTGGGTCTCCATTTGCTCCACTTTTTGTTTATTTGTGCCTCTTGCTGACCCCATGTCTCTTGCATGGACTGGCTCCCCACTTGTCCCATCCTGCGAAGGGCGAGGAGACCATCCTGCAGTTCAGCTCAGGTACCTTGACGCTGACCCGAAGACCAAAACCACAGCCAGAGCCTCTGAGTTACCCGGTGCTGGAGTGGGAGGACATAACCTTTGAGGACCTCATCGGGGAAGGAAACTTTGGCCAGGTCATCCGGGCCATGATCAAGAAGGACGGGCTCAAGATGAATGCAGCCATCAAGATGCTGAAAGGTCTGCTGGGAGTGACCTTTGACCCCAGCCTTGACCTTCTCCTTTGTCCCACAGAGATCAGGCCCCACCTGACTCCCTCCAGTAACTGACCCCAGCTCTTACCAGCTCATGCCCTTGCTCCAGGATCATTTCTGGCTAAAGTAATACTGTATTCTGTACACAGAATATGCCTCTGAAAATGACCATCGTGACTTTGCGGGAGAACTAGAAGTTCTGTGCAAATTGGGGCATCACCCCAATATCATCAACCTCTTAGGAGCCTGCGAGAACCGAGGTGAGCCCCCAATTTATCACCTACCCCTTCTTCAGAACCCCCATCAACAGCCACCCTCGTCAGCACCTTGCTGGGAGCTTCAGGGTTACCTCAACATCACTGCTCATTCTCCTTCATGCTTCAGGCTCCCCGTCTGCTGTTGGTGGTACCCACTGCCACCAGGTTGCCTGTATACGAACTACCACCATGTATCTCCCCACCTCCCAGGTTACTTGTATATTGCAATTGAATATGCCCCCTATGGGAACCTGCTAGATTTTCTGCGGAAAAGCCGGGTCCTGGAAACAGACCCAGCTTTTGCTCGAGAACATGGAACGGCCTCCACCCTCAGCTCCCGGCAGCTGCTGCGCTTTGCCAGTGATGCTGCCAACGGCATGCAGTACCTGAGTGAGAAGCAGGTGTGTGAGTGTGTGTGAGTGCAGGGAGGGCGGGCGGGGGTGCTAGAGGGGGAGGGGAGGCCACTGCACCCACCTCAGGAGACAAATCAGCGGGCTCTAATTGGATATGGATTGAGGAATCGAGAGGACATGACCCCCAGGTGCTGGCCTGGGCGAGTGGGTGAGAGAGCAGGATGGGAAGCAGGTCTGGAGGAGGGGCTGCATTTGAAGCATTGGAGGAGCATCTTGGTGGAGGTGTTGAGTTAGCAGTTGTGGATACCAGCCTAGAACTCAGGAGAGGCCTGGGCTGGAGACAACAGTCTGGGAACTGTCACTCAGCAGATGGTGGCGCTAATGGTGAGGGAGGGGGTGAGACCTACCAAGAGAAGGTAAAGGAGGAGCAGAGAGTGGAGGCTGGAACCCAAGTCCAAGGATCCCTGCTTGAATGAAGGGAGAGAGGGCAGCAGTACTAGGGCCACATGAACTGGAGAGAGCACTTTAAAGGCGGTAGAGTTTTAAGTACCTTTGAAAGCAGAGGGGCACAGCACAGAGGGAGGGGTTGATGGGTAGCAGTCTCTGAAGAAGGGACGAGTGGAGAGGACTTGGAACTCGAGAGAAAGGGTCAATTTGTGCAAGAAAAGGACCTTCCCCACTCTCATCAATTAAGGGAGAGAAGAGGTTGGGAGAGAGGAAGGTAGGGAGCATGCAAAGAGGGGGAGGTACAGTAAGGTCACCCAAGAAAAGCCCACCATTGTCCCAGGAAGAGGGATACACCTCAGCCTGGCCATGGCCATATCACGGAAAGGAAGGGCTGATGGCAGCCAGCACTGTGGTTTTTCTCAGGGAGCAGTCGCTGTTCCGGGGGGAGGCCCCAGGTGGGTGGGAGGAAGGATAGGGGCTACTAAATGCCTTGAGGATGGACATGAAAACAGGCTGTGGGTAGGCCCTCACTGGCCCAGGAGTCCTGGGCTCACTCACCCCCAGTCTTCCCTGACTTCTGACCGTGCCTGCAGTTCATCCACAGGGACCTGGCTGCCCGAAATGTTCTGGTCGGAGAGAACCTGGCCTCCAAGATTGCCGACTTTGGCCTTTCTCGTGGGGAGGAGGTCTATGTGAAGAAGACCATGGTAAGACTCAGACCTCCCTCGGGTTCCATGCCTGGCCCTGCTCCCCAGAGCCCTCTAAACAGGCCCTTCCTCCTCACCAATCCCTCAAGCCCACTCTGTCCTAGGGGCGTCTCCCTGTGCGCTGGATGGCCATCGAGTCCCTGAACTACAGCGTCTATACCACCAAGAGTGACGTGTGAGTGCGGGGCAGGAGGGGGTAGGAGGGCTGGGTCTCCCAAGGATGCACACAGGCATAACCCGGACACATCTCAGACTTGTCTCACGTAGTCCTAGGCATGACTTTGATGTCCCCAGGGTGTGTTCCAGGTGAGGCATAGGTGGTGCAGGTGTATCGTGGGTATATCCTGGTGATGCCCAGTATCTTAGTGGGAAGGAAAGGGAGCTAGCTGGAGGGAAGCTTTGTCTTAGAAGGTGATTCAGGGGTAGGATTGGGGTAGGGGTAGTTTGGGGTGGTGTTTGTCTAAGAGACTGGGGGATGCCTTAGAGATGTTTGGGGATGCTGGTGGATAATGCCCTGGTGAATGGGGAGAGACCACTCAGGAATGCTCTTACCTTCCTCTCTAAAAGACAGGGTCATCCCCATATGAGGACCTAACCAGAACATGACCCCCAAGACTCCTCTATGCACCCCTCCCGCAAACAACCATCTTGGCACACCCCTCCCCCTCTGGGAAACCGAGCCTGCCCAGTCCTCCAGCCCTGGCTCTGCCTATTTGCCCCAAGCCCTGGCCAGCCCTGCTCACTCTCTACCACATCGACCACCCCTCTGATCATCACTTGTCTTCTTCCTTCTTCTGTTCCCAAACTCCCTAGGTTTCTCCCCCCACTAGAACTCCTACCCTGGCCTCACCTGACTCGCACATGAATGAAGATTGTTTCACTATAAGAGCCAGTTAAGAGCAAGGGCTTTGGGGCCAAATTGCCAGGGTTTGAATCCCAGTTCTTCCACTTACTAGCAGTGTGACCTTGGGCAATCTAGCAAGCCTCTCATTGCCTCAGTGTCTCCATCTATAAAATGGGGATAATGGCATAGGGTTGGTGTGAAGGTTAAATGTATTAACACACACAGTAAATGGTCAGTGCCTGGCCCATAGTAAATGTGTGATAGAAGATGTTAGCTATGATTACTCTGAGCCTGACAGGAACCATGAAGGAGTTTCAATGGAGCAGTGACCACAGCTGACCAAGGCCGGAGACTTCCAGAATAGGCACATGCACGAGCTGGGATGGGCTGCAAACCTGGGGTAGGGTAGGTAGACACCAAAATGCTTGCCCCAGGGCCTAAAGGTAACTAAGTGCCTCCTCCTCATTTCAGCTGGTCCTTTGGGGTACTCCTCTGGGAGATCGTGAGCCTTGGTGAGTCCCACACTCCCATTCCCCAGGGTGCCCCCACCTTCCCCTTCTGGGGTCCTGGGCTGAGGGAGCTGTATCCCCTCCTGTAGGGGGCACACCCTACTGTGGCATGACCTGTGCTGAGCTCTATGAGAAGCTGCCTCAGGGATACCGCATGGAGCAGCCTCGGAACTGTGATGATGAAGTGTGAGTTGCCTCAGCCGTGAGCCCTGGGACCCCATCACCCCAGTTGGGCCTGACCCCTCATCTCAGCAATGCCCCATCTACAGATATGAGCTGATGCGTCAGTGCTGGCGGGACCGTCCGTATGAGCGACCCCCCTTTGCCCAGATTGCATTGCAGCTGGGCCGAATGCTGGAAGCCAGGAAGGTGAGAGGACTGGGGGTGGACTTCCCTCGCACAGCAGCCAGCGCCAGCCCCTGGGTCCCCACCCTCACCGCTGACGGCCACCACAGCTAGGCCCGGCCCCAGGATGCAGCCCCCCATTCCGGTTCTCAATAGGTTGGACATTAGGTTCTTCTGAATTTTTCCAAGGTCACTGCTAACCCAGCAGCAAATCCCTCTCTAGGTCCCCGGTCCCAGACTGTTTTCCTGTCCTCTGCTGGAGCCATCAGCCCATTCTCATCTAGGACACCTCTCCCCACCTGTCACAGAGCCAGAGAGCAATGAATGAATGGTCAACTAACCATATGGATGCATGGATGATATAGGAACTGAATGAATAAATAGAATTAGTGGATGGATGATATAATCACATGGTACAATCATATGAAAAAACACATGATCAAATAACTGAATCTAATACCATGTGAATAAATGAATTTATCAAATAAATATAAATGAAGAAAATATCAAAATAAATGTAATACATTTATAAATGCAAAGAGTTCCTCATATGAATTAATTAATGACTAAATAGCTAAGGAACTAGTAAAGTATCTTAAGAATTAGGAATGATCAAATGACAATATAAATGGGTAAATTGTCAAAAACAGCTTTATAAAGATGAATAAGTGAATGAATGAATGAATGAATGAATGAGCAAACAGTTCACTGGATGAGTGCATGAAAAAAATTCCAACTAACAATTGTGTCAAGGGCCCCTCACCTGCGCCTCCAACTGTGGTGTAATGCCCTGCTGTTCTGGGCTGGTGAGGGCTGCCCTTGACCATGGGGCCATCCTGAGTCTCCAGAACAAACCAGTGTCTTTTCAAGTACCCCAACCACATGGAAGCCAAGGCCCTCCAGGCCAGAGTTGCCCCCATCCCTGGCCCCCACTAAAGCTTGCTCTGCTCCCCAGGCCTATGTGAACATGTCGCTGTTTGAGAACTTCACTTATGCGGGCATCGACGCTACAGCTGAAGAGGCCTGAGCTGCCATCCAGGCAGACTGGCTCTGCTGGCCAGAGCCAACCGCTCTCCAACCTATGACTTCTGATCCTTGAGCTGCCTCAAGGATTTGGTTTTTAACTTAAGGAAGAAAAGAAGGGATCCAGGGAAGGGATGGACTTAGGGGAATGGGGTCCTTATCCTTTGAAGTTGCTCCCCTGCCTCCTGCACTGCTCTTACAGCTACTGCACATCCTTCCTTCTAGGTCGCCTGCTCCACAGATGTGCTCCTCTTCTCCCGCACTCAAACCCCTGCTTCTGCTCCTCCACCCAGGCCACCGCTCACACCGCTAACATGCCCTGTCCAGCTACTCCCCACTCCCGGCCTTGTAATCAGAAAAAAATAAATGCTCTGAGCAGCTCCATCCAATGTCTTCCTTTTACTGCTGGCCAACCCCAGGGAAAAGTTGAACCAAAGACAGAGAAACTGGACTTTCCAGGGAAAGATGCTGTTCCTAGTTAATGTTATAGACCCAATCCCTCTGTTCAAGATGTCTCTCCATGATGGGAGGTGTTCTAGAAGAACATTTTACACCACTCCTGTATCTTTGTCATATGAGAAGTCCAGTTTTCCCCCGGTCTCCTCACTACTCTCCAGCTCCATCACCAGCGTGTCTCCCTGTGTCTCTAGGTGGCTGCCAGTCTAGCATTCTTGGCTCTGTCCGAACAGCCCATGCCAGGGTCAGCTGTAGCCCGGCCTCAGCTCAAACTGACACCTCAGCACCAGACAGATTCTGACTTCTCTGGAGCTCCCACTTTTCTTTATGTCTGTAGGCAGCCTTTCCTGGCGTGGTAGCCACCTTACTACCCAAAAGAGGAAGGCAGGTGTTACTCCATCTTCAGTCGGCCATGGTAGGATGCCTAGGCCTTCCTCAGGGTCCGAGTGCACCAGGAGGTGCTCCCTGCCCTGAAAGCTAATCCTGTCCTCCATGCCGTGTGGCCTTCAGGTTTGCTTGTCCTTTCGATTGGTCACTGCTGGCCTCTCCTGCTGGTACTTAGGAAACAACGCTTGTCTTGCTTGATACATGTTTTCAGTGAGTCGGGTGAAATTGAGGAGTGTATAACATAGTATGGCATTACAGTAAGAGCACAGGTTCTGGAACCACGCTGACCCATGTCTAAGTCCTTGCTATGTCCCTTTCTGTGTGTCCTTGGTCAAGTCACTTAACCTCTCTGAAAAATGGGCTTAGTAACAGCTACCTCACTGCTGTTCCACAGGCACGTTTCCTTCAGGACTGGGCCTGGCACATGGCGCTCAGTGTCGGCAGATAATCCGTACAGGTGCAGGAAGATGGGGGGAGGGCCGGGGGTATCAGAGTCTGTATTCCAAAAAGACCTGAATGGCTGGCATGGGGAGCTGAATTTAAGATGAAGAGATTAATTGGATTGAATTGGGAGCTATGCAGGATGAGGAAGGTGGGATTTGCTCAAATGAAATTTCGTTTCAGAAACGCCGCAGGGATGTCACCAGGTCTGGGATGCGGGGATTTTAAAAGATGTCCCTGGTGGGGACCAATATATAAACAAAGATGCCCTGTGGGGTGACAGATATGTAAACAAACAAACAACAAACCAGACAGAAGGGGATGCTAAAAGAGAGGGAGGGTCCCTGGGTGACATATACAGAAAGGAGATGGAGTCAGGGCAGCGTTTTCAGAGAAAGGAGCACTTTAATCTGGGCCATGAAGAAGCAAGGACTCAGAGAGGAAACGATCCTGGCAGGGGACACAGCACCCGTGACAGGTGGGTGTTCAGGAGCTGCAGAGTCCCATGTGGCTGGAACAAAGGGGAACATAGCTCTGCGAGGGTAATGGACCAGCCCGTGCGGGACCTTGTGGGGCGCACTAAGGATCTGGGTCTTCATCCTGAGGGCAGACAGCGTGGAAGAGCTGGGAGCAGGGGCATAGCATGGTCAGCTTTACATTTTTTGCAAGATCACTCTGGCCACTGTGGAGAATGGATCATAGAGGAGCAAGAGTGAAGGTTAGGAGTCTGCCCATCAGTGAGATACCTGAGATGAAGCTGACAAATTCCTAGAAAGAAAGGAACTGCCAACGTTGCCTCAAGAACAAATAGGCGATCTGAATAGATTTATAACAAGTAAAGAGATTAAGTTAGTAATTTTTAAAAACTTCAGTGGTGAATTCTACCAAACATTTCAATAAGAATAAACATAAATTTTTCACAAACTCTTCCAAAAAATAGAAGAGTAGTTCTTAATCCATTCTGTGAGTCCAGTATTGCCCTTACAGCAGACAAAGACATCACAAGAACACTACAGATCAATATATCTATGAACATGGGCGCAAAAATTCTCATGAAAATCCTAGCCAACGGAATCCAGCAACATTTAAAAAGAATTATGTACCATAACAAAGCGGGATTTATCCCAGAAACACAAGGTTAGTTTAACATCCCAAAATCAATTAATGTAATACATCCTAGCAATAGAATAAAAAACAAAAACTACGTGATCATTTCAATAGACATACAAAAACATTTGACAAAATCCAACACCTTTTCATAATTTAAAAACAAACAAATTAGGAATAGAAAGAAACTTCATTGACCTGACACAAGGCATTTACAAAACCCACAGCTAACATCACACTTAATAGTGAAAGACTGCATCCTGCCCCCTGTGATCAGAAATGAAAGGGATATTTTCTCTCCCCACTTTTATTCAACACTGTTCTAGCCAGGGCACTTGGGTAAGAAAAAACAATAAACATCATTCAGACTAGAAAGGAAGAAGTAAAACTATCTCTATTTGCAGATAACATGATTGTCTATATACAAAATCCTAAGGAATCCACTAAAAAAAAAACATTAAAATAATACATGAGTTTAGCAAGTTTGTGGGACGCAAGATCAATAAATATACTAAAAGCAGTTTTCTTCTATACTTGCAATGAACAATTTGAAAATGAAAATAAGAAAACTACAATAGCATTAAAAAACTACTTGGGAATAAATTTAACAAAGCGTGAAAAACTTATACTCTGAAAATTACAAAACACTGAAAGAAATGAAAGCAGTCCTGGCTGGTTTGGCTCAGTGATTAGAGCGGCGGCCTGTGGACTGGAGAATCCTGGGTTCGGTTCCTGCTAAGGGCACGTATCTCAGTTGCGGTTTGTCCTCGGCCCCGGTTGGGGTCGTGTGGGTGGCAGCCACTCAATGTGTCTCTCTCTCTCTTCCTCCCTCTCTATCTGAAGATGAATGCAAAAAAAAAAGGAAATGAATGCAGATCTAAATAAATGGAAAAGCATCTCATGTTCGTGAAGGTAAGGCTTATTATTAATATGATAATACTTCCCAAGCTGATCAATAGATTCAGTAAAATCCACATCAGAATCCCAGCTGGAGCCCAGCTGGTGTGGCTCAGTGGTTGAGCATTGACCCATGTACCAACAGGTTGCCAGTTTGGTTCCCAGTCAGGGCACATGCCCAGGTTGTGGGCCAAATTGCAGGAGGCGGCTAATCGATGTTCTCTCTCATTGATGTTTCTATCTCTCTCTTCCTCTCCCTTCTCTCTCTCTCTAATCAATAAAGAAAAAAAATCCCAGCTGGATTCTTTGTAGATACTGACAAGCTGATTCTAAAATCCATATGGAATTACAAGGGAACCAGAATATCCAAAACAATCTTGCAAAAGAATAACAAAGTTTGTGAATTCATATTTCCTAATTTCAAAACCAACTGCAAATCAACAAAAATCAAGATAGTGTAGTACTGGCATAAGGATAGATAACATAAATCAACAGGATAGACTTGAGAGTCCAGAAATAAACCCCTGTGTCTATGGTCAGCTGATTTTCAACAAAGGTGCCAAGACCATTTAATGGGGAAAGAACAGTCAACAAATGATGCTGAAACAACTGAATAGCCACTTGTGCAAGAATGATGTTGGACCGCTATCCAAACACTATATACAAAATTAACTCAAAATAGAATAAAGACCTAAATGTAAGAGCCAAAACTATAAAACCCCCAAAAGAAAATATAGGGGTAAATTTTCGGATTTGGTAATGGATTTTTATATGTGACACTAAAGTACAAATAAAAAAATAAAAATTAGGTAAATTAAACTTCATCAAAATTGAAAACTTTAATGTATCAAAGGATATTATCAAAAAGGTGAAAAGACAACCCGCAGAATGGGAGATTTGCAAATCACGTATCTGATAAGAGACTTATATCTAGAATACATACAGAAGTCTTACAATTTAATAACAAAGAGATAAATAACCCAATTTTTTTTTTTTTTTTTTTTTTTTTTTCCTCACCCGAGGACATTTTTCGATATTTTGTTCAGATAGAGTGAGAGGGAGAGAGAGAGAAACATCGACGTGAAAGCGACACATCGAGTGGTTGCCACCCACACGACCCAACCAGGGCCGGGGACAAACTGCAACCAAGGTACGTGCCCTTAGCGGGAACCGAACCCGGGTCTCTCCGGACCGCAGGCCAACGCTCTAACCGCTGAGCCAAACCGGCCAGGGCAAATAACCCAATTTTTAAATGAGCAAAGAATCTGAATAAATCTTTCTCCAAAGAAGGTATACATGCCCTGGCTGGTTTGGCTCAGCGGTTGGAGTGTCGGCTTGTGGTCCAGAGAGACCAGGGTTTGGTTTCCTCTAAGGGCATGTGCCTCGGTTGCAGTTTGTCCCCGGCCCCGGTTGGGTGTGTGGGTGGCAACCACTCGATATGTCCCTTTCATGTCGATGTTTCTCTCTCTCTCTCCCTCCCACTCTATCTGAGCAAAATATCAAAAAATGTAGGTGAGAATAAAAAAAATAAAAAAATAAAAGAAGGTATACAAATGGCCAATAAGTACATAAACAGATAGATATTTGACATGATTAGTAATCAGGGAAATGCCAATGATATAACTTCATACCTATGAAGACTGCTACAATCAAAAAGTCAGATAAGCCCTGGCCGGTTTGGCTCAGCGGTTCGAGCATCGGCCCGCGGACCAGAGAGGCCCGGGTTTGATTCCCGCTAAGGGCATGTACCTCGGTTGCAGTTTGTCCCCAGCCCCAGTTGGGGTCATGCGGGTGGCAACCACTCGGTGTGTCTCTCTCACATCGATGTTTCTCTCTCTCCCTCTTCCTCCCTCTCTCCCTCCCTCCCACTCTGTCTGAAGATAAATGCAAAAATGTCCTCGGGTGAGGATAAAAAAAAAAAAGTCAGATAATAGCAAGTGTTGACAGAGAATAATCAGAACCCTCAAACGCCACTGGTGGGAATGGAAAATTGTGCAACCTGTTTGGAAAACA